CACGAAGAGTCGGACACGACTGAACGACTCAACAACAACACTTAGCTATATGGGCCCCTTATGGTCTGCCTATAAGAACCTAAGAAGAGCCTTCAGGATGAGGCCAGTGGCCCATCTAGTCCAGCACCCTGTTCTCACACTGGCCAGCTAGATGCCTGTAGGAAACCAGGATCCGATCACAAGAGCAACACACCCTTCCTGTGGTTTCCAGCAACTGGTATTCAGAAGCACCGCTGCCTTCAACTGGGGAGGCAGATCAGAGTCCCCATGGCAGCTTTCGAGGTTCATAGGCTCTGTGTTGGCCCATAAGACTCTGGCACTAGACCGTCAGTGGGTCTAAACCTCTGCTGAAAACATTTCCATTCCACCAGGCCTACGCAGGCCATTGGGAGAATAAATCTTTCCACAATTGTTAATTGAATTTTTAAAATTTCTTTATGGTTTTTACGTTTCACTGCAGTAAACCACTCATATATTTTATGGCACGGTGGCATATAAATAAATTTTATATGCCCTACCACAGGCATAGGCAAATCGGCCCTCCAGATGTTTTTGAGACTACAGTTCCCATCATCTCTGACCACTGGTCCTGTTAGCTAGGGATGATGGGAGTTGTAGTCCCAAAACAACTCCGAGTTTGCCTATGAGAGGGCCGAGTTTGCCTATGCCTGCCCTGCAAGGACATTGCTCAGTGGTTAGATCTACCTGGCATCTCCAAGAAGGGCTGGGAAGGCCCCCTGCCTGAAACCCTGGAGAGCCTCTGCCAGTCCGTGTAGGCAATATTGAGCCAGATGGAGCCATGGTCTTACTTGGAATAAGGAAAAGGTCCCCTCAGAGGACCTTTGGAATAAGGAAAAGGAAAAGGTCCCCTCAGAGCATAAGACTCAGTTCAGAAACCAAACACCTCCTCACCTGCCTTGCAAAAGCTGCCACCCTTCTATGAACTGCCACACCTGTCCCACAAGCAGCGGCTAGATTGCCTCTCCTGGGCTGTGAAAAGCTGTCAGTCTCGACAGATCAAGCTGCTGTTAAAATCACAGGGGCAAGTTAGGCCAAGGTTTTTTATTATGATTATTCCGGTCAGTTGATAACCTTACAACCTACTCACATGGGAGGAAACAGCTGGGGGGGGGAGGGGGGAGAGAACGAACTCCCAGCATCTGAAGGTAGGAATGGCTGGGGAGGGGGAATATCTTCTGTCCGAAACCTTGGAGAGCTGCTACCAGTCAGTGTAGGCATGTCCAACAAGTAGATTGTGATCTACCAGTAGATCGCGGGGGTGTTCCAGGTAGATCGCGGGATCTCCGGGGTGCTCCTGATCGACCCCCCAGAAAAGCTCAACAACTCTGCGTCACCCTCCCCAAAAGATCAACAACTCTTGCAAAGTCAATGGGTAGATCACTGCCAGTTTTTTATAGTGGGAGTAGATCGCAGTCTCTTGGGAGATGGACTTGCCTGGTAGGCTATACTGAGCTAAGTGGGCTCTTGCTCTGACTTGCTATGCCCCTAGAGACATCACCTTGCTAACAAAGGCCCGTATAGTTAAAGCTATGGTTTTCCCAGTAGTGATGTATGGAAGCGAGAGCTGGACCATAAAGAAGGCTGATCGCCGAAGAATGGATGCTTTTGAATTCTGGTGCTGGAGGAGACTCTTGAGAGTCCCATGGACTGCAAGGTGATCAAACCTCTCCATTCTGAAGGAAATCAGCCCTGAGTGCTCACTGGAAGGACAGATCCTGAAGCTGAGGCTCCAAGACTTTGGCCACCGCATGAGAAGAGAAGAATCCCTGGAAAAGACCCTGATGTTGGGAAAGATGGAAGGCACAAGGAGAAGGGGACGACAGAGGACGAGATGGTGGGACAGTGTTCTCGAAGCTACCAGCATGAGTTTGACCAAACTGCGGGAGGCAGTGGAAGACAGGAGTGCCTGGCGTGGTCTGGTCCAGGGGGTCACGAAGAGTCGGACACGACTAAACAACAACAGCTCCACCCACATAAGGGCAGACCTTGAAGACCCGAAATAGTAATCAAGCACAACATTTTGAAGTAGGAATCATCAGCAGACCTTGTTTGTCCTACAGCAGCACATTTAAACTTCTTTCCACTGGTGCTCAGATTTGAACATAGCACCACTGAAGCAGCTCCTTGGTTCTTTTTAGAAATCTGTCCTATTACAATCACATCCCACTTTTCCTCCAAGGCTTGGGCCCAAACGTGGACCTCCAGCTGTTGTTGGACTACAAATCCCATCATCCCTAGCTAGCAGGGCCAGGGGTCAGGACTCTCATGGGAACTGTAGTCCAAAAACAGCTGGAGACTCAAGTTGGGGAAGCCCTGCTCTAAGGAGCCCAAAAGTGGTACCCGTAAGCTCTCCTCCCCTTTAACGTCACAACGACCCTGTGAGGTAGGTTAGGCTGAGCGCAAGTGCCTGGTTTGGTTGCACATCAGAGTCCCAATTTGGATGGTAAGGGGGCAGTCCCAGAGGCTAAATTTCTGTGCACCGAGTGGCTGTTTAAAGCATTACGCTCTGGGGTCACTAAACAAATAAAGACTAAGAGGCGGCGATCTTGACTTTGCCTCCCATCCATTTCCAGGAGGTGTCAATTTAATGGTCCGTGTGTGGAGCCTCTTGTCTCATAAATCAAATGCAGTGTGGAGCAGACAGCGCTTCATCGCAAGAGGGGCAGAGGAGGCCCCTCGATGGGAGACGGGGACACAAAAGGAAAAGGCACCCGCGACAACAGCCCATTGCTTTGCAGCCCACTCAAACCTCTCTCTCTTCAAGGGGACTGAGGAAGTCAGTCTTGCAGCCGGCAACTGCCCTCCTCCCCCAGTCTACCCCAGTTCCAAGGGGGAGTTTCCAGTTAAGAGCTGCTGAATTCAATGGGCCTTACTCCCAGGCAAGCGAGGTTTAGGGTCCCAGCCTTAAAAAAACCATTTCCTGTTGGCAAAGGGAATTTGTGAAGCAGGCTGGGCTCCTCCGAAGACTAGCCAAGGACAATGTTGCATGGAAAGCAGGCCACAACTGCAGCTGGAATTTTGTTGGCCAAAAATTGGAAATCACGAGACGTACCAGCAGTGGAGGAATGGCAGATGAAGATGATGGACTTCTGGGAGCTAGCTGACCTGACCGGAAGAGTCCGCGACAGAAGGAGGGATGGAAGAAATTTAAAGACTATTTAGCTAAATATGTCAAGATAATTTAGATAGAAATACTTGCGAATATCAGATAGGCCTAGGATTTCAATATGTGATGTTGCAGAATAAGATGTTTAAAGTTAAAATGAAAAGAAAGAAAGATGTTAATTGAGTAAGTAAATTTTATGTGAAAATAGTTTTGGAAAACTGCTACAATGATTTATATGGAAACTCAGCCACAATGTTAACAAAAGTGGAATTATTACAGTCAAGATAAAGGCTTGTTTGTTTGTCTGTTTTTGATGTTCTTTTTCTATTTGTTTGTTATAAATTTGGAAAACTAATAAAAAAATTTGGAAAAAAAAGTTGCATGGAAAGCATCAGAAATTTATGGTCATAGCCTCCAAACACAAGTGAGTGTCTTGAATATTTAAGGCACTCCAGCATTGTAAGAGGGGTCTTTCAACAACAAGCCCTCCCGCTAGTCAGGAAGTGGGGGGGGGTGGGGGGTGGAGAGACAATGTGCCCATCGGTTTTTATTTTGCAAAAAGAGAAAGGAAATTACAAATGGGTTGCGTGGGGCAATAACTCGCCGAATCGCCGGCTCGAAGGCCTCATAAAGGCTCCCTGTCCCTGAATTGTGAAGGTGAGCGTCAAGCTTGATTGGGGGGGGGAGCAGCCGGGGAGGGGGGCGTTCATAATAAACAGCAAGCCCGCCTGTCCTGCAAGCGCCACTTTTGTCCAGGGATAGCAATTACGTAATTGGCGAGCCTGCCACCGTGTACCTTCTGAGAAATCTTTTGTTCAGCAGCCTGACAGCACAGAAGAGACGGACAAAACATTGACCATCGAATTAGGATGCTGCAAACATCTGCTTCAAGTTGCAACCTTTTTTTAAAATTTAGTTTGTCAAGGAAGGCGGGATACCGGAAAAGCAAATTCACACCATTACACATTTCTGCAGCTGGTCTCCTTTAAGTCGCTCCTCTTAGCAACTCCAGCTCCAGGCGGTTAAAATAAAAATAAATCACAGGAGCTCAAACTCTGGGGGGCCACCAGGCAAAAGGAGACAAACCTTAATAGCCAGCACCTTTGCTGCTGTCCCTGCAAACCTTAATAGCCTTAATAGTCCCTCCTCAGCTCTTGGAAGCAAGTGTCTTCCTGGCCACTTCTAAACCTGGGAGGAATTCAAGAACTGCCAGACAACAGATGATGCGACTTACTTAAAGCGAGAGCTTTTGCGAGAAGTATCCCAGATTCTCCTGCACGTCTGAAACCCCCTCCTCAGCTACAGCATCCGCGAGTTTCCAGGAATCCTGCACCGCCTCTAGCCCGCGCATGCAAACCAACGCCGGGCGCCAAGAAACTTTTTTTTTCTGCAAAAACCAGACCCAAAACAAAAGCAGGCTTTGGAAGGGAACGGATTTCCCCGTCTCAGCTCTTCTCTCTCTCTCTGCCTTCAAGGCCGGGGGGCGAGCAGCCTTTGGCTCGCCGAGAAACAATGAAGCCGGCGAGACCCCCCCCCCTTCCCTCCCTCTCTCCATTGTCCAAGGCGAGTAGTGAAAGGCAGGCGGGGGAGAGGGAGCGCGTGAAAGGGAAAGTGGGAGGCAGGTGCTGGAAAGAAGACATCCTTGCGGGGGGGGGGGGATGGATGCAAAAGCCGGCTGGAGAAAGCGAAAGTCCGCCGCTAAGGAAAGTGGCCCCCAGTCCCGCAAGAGCCCCCCATTCCCGGGGAGAGAGAGGGGCTCCCTCCGGCCAGAGTTTCCCCCCAAGGGGGGGTGACCCCAAATGACCTGGCTGCAAAGGAAGACCAGCCACGCCACCCACCCATCAGACAGACGGACAGACAGATAGCAACTCACCTGCCTAGGGAATGGCACGGCACGGCACGGCACGGCTCGCCACCCTCTTCTTCCTCCGCCGCTTTCTGCAAGCCTGCAAGCCGAGCCCCCCCAAAAGCGGCTTTTGTTAGCAACCCCAGATGCGCTCGGGGGTCCTCGGTGGGGGGAGAAGAGGAGCGCGCGCGGCGTTTGCATGGCGGAGGGGCCGCCCCTCCCCCGGCCCCGCCTCCAGCCCCTCCCCCTCGGAAGGACTTCCCCCTCCCCAAACACCCCCCCCCAAAGGAACCCCCTCCCATTGATGCCCGGTAACATTTATGAAACGTGTATACCGCCCGTGAGAACGCGACTGACCCGGAGTGCTTTCCTTCCCTCCCTACTGCATCATCTCTGGAAAGACCCCCCCCCCGAAATCAGCAACCCCCCGAACCCACAACAGCTTCCTCCAGGGTGAACCCCCCCCCCGCTCTCCTAATCTACACCAGGGCTCCCCTCTCCGGCTCCCGGAGCATCTCAGCATCCCCGCAACGCACCCCCGTTTTGCCAGTGGCCCCCCCTCCCCGTACCCCGCTATTCTGCAAGCAAGCAGCCTCCCCACCCCCGTAGATCCTGCCCTCCGGAGCGCCCCCGGAGCATGCACGATGACATCAAGAGCCCCCCATCTCCAAATATCCCCGCCCCACTTTGCCTTAAAGACAAGACAGGCTTTTTTGGGGGGTCCACCAGCTTCAAAAGAGCCCCGCCAGCCCTTGCGCCCCGCGCCCCGCTTCTGCCCCCCTGCTCTCCAGCCCCCTCTAGCGGCCGGGCAGCGCAGCGCAGCGCCTTCCGGAGCCTGCCTTACCTGCCTCAGGGTCCCGGGCGGCTCCTTGGCGCCGGGAGCATCGCTTAGCCCGGCCGCCGCCGCCGCTGTTCCCCCGCCATGGCCGGAGCCGAGCAACGGCGCAGGGAGAAGGAGGCGGAGCGCCAGAAGCAGGCCGGGAAGGAGGAGAGGAGGAGGAGAGCCCGCCCGGCAGAGACCTCCCCTCGACCCCGGAGCCGGCGGAGCAGCGGGCGGGCCCGGCTGGCAGGCAGAGGGAGGCAGCGGCCTCAGGCGGCCGCTCGGGGAGGGTCCCTCGCTTGCATCCTCCGCCGCCGCCTTGAAACGCGGACCGGTTGAATTCTACATCTTTAGGGTGGTGGTGGGGAATAGGTTTGAGGTTTGGTTGAATCAGTATTTTTTAATTAATAATATTTTTAATTAATTAATTAAATAATAATTAATTTAATTAGTATTTAGTTATTAAAATGCAAATTTAATTACGTATTAAAAAGCACATCACTAGTTTTCTGGGGGGCGTGCCCACCCAGGCAGGCGCTTTGAAACAGGAAGCTTCCTTTTTTTAGAATAATAATAACAATAATAGAATGGAAGAGTTGGAAGGGACCCCGAGGGTCATCTAGTCCAACCCCTGGCAACGATGGAATCTGCAACTGTCCCATACAGTGGTACCTCGGGTTAAGTACTTAATCCGTTCCGGAGGTCTGTTCTTAACCTGAAGCACCACATTAGCTAATGGGGCCTCCTGCTGCCACCACTCGATTTTTGTTCTCATCCTGAAGCAAAGTTCTTAATCCAAGGTACTATTTCTGGGTTAGACCAAGAGGCTCAATGGTTTAGACCACAGGGCCACCTGCATTTCAAAAGCATGCCAAAAAGTGCAAGTAGATAAATAGGTACTACTCCGGCGGGAAGGTAAACGGTGTTTCCATGCGCTGCTCTGCTTTTGCCAGAAGTGGCTTAGTCCTGCTGGCCACATGACCCGGAAAAACTGTCTTCGGACAAACGCCGGCTCCCTCGGCCAATAAAGCGAGATGAGCGCCACAACCCCAGAGTCGTCCGCAACTGGACTTAACTGTCAGGGGTCCTTTACTCTTTTTTTTAGTTTGTTTTGTATTTCTTGTGCCAATATGGGTTTCTTATTTTCGTAGGCCTTTGGCTTGCCAGGTTTTTATCTGGAGATTTTGTGCTGCATGGTGGAATAGTGGGTGGTGAGCCATGGGGATTAGTGGGGAAGGGGTTTGTTTCTAAGGAATGAGTTTGCTGTGGTAGAGGTATTTTCTCCTTTTTTGTAATAAATTTTTAATTGAATTTTACAATTCAACTTTCAACAGATTTATCATATATAAGAAAATAAAAATAAAACAGAACTTCCCCCAATCCATGACTTCCCTCAACTTCCCCTTCTGGTTCTTTATATGAAAATTTGCTACTTCTGCTTAAATTTTATCCTATTTTTCATCTCTTAGCTGAATGCTCTTAGATTCTGATCATTTTTGTACCAAATTTTATTCCAATTACACCTTGCATTTAATTAATTTCCATATTGTTGTTTCTCAACCTTTACTCTTGTTTTCTGAATTGTGTTTACTCAAATCCTGCTAGTGAGTCCATTTCTTTACAATATTTCTGTAAATACAGCATGAACGATTCCCAGTCTTTTTTAAAGTCTCTAGTATTGTCTTTCTATTTGCCAGGAGGTGATGGGACCAGTGGCCATGATCTTCGTTTTTTTGATGTTGAGCTTCAAACCTAGACAGCGTCTGAAAAAGCAGAGACATCACCTTGCCAACAAAGGTCCGTATAGTAAAAGCTATGGTTTTCCTAGTAGTGATGTATGGAAGTGAGAGCTGGACCATAAAGAAGGCTGATCACCAGAGAATGGATGCTTTTGAATTCTGGTGCTGGAGGAGACTCTTGAGAGTCCCATGGACTTCAAGAAGATCCAACATCTCCATTCTGAAGGAAATCAGCCCTGAGTGCTCACTGGAAGGACAGATCCTGAAGCTGAGGCTCCAAGACTTTGGCCACCTCATGAGAAGAGAAGACTCCCTGGAAAAGACCCTGATGTTGGGAAAGATGGAGGGCACAAGGAGAAGGGGACGACAGAGGACGAGATGGTGGGACAGTGTTCTCGAAGCGACCAACAGGAGTTTGACCGAACTGCGGGAGGCAGTGGAAGACAGGAGTGCCTGGCGTGCTCTGGTCCAGGGGGTCACGAAGAGTCGGACACGACTAAACGACTAAACAACAACAACAACAACAAGTATTGTCTTTGTCTCTGAGTTTTCCCGTAAGCTTTGCCGTTTCTGCATATTCCATAAGTTTAACTTGCCGTTCTTCTTGGGGTGGAGGTGTTTTCGATTACATCTCTCTCCAGGTGTACCCATTGCTTCATTTCATCATCTAGAATGTGTGGGATTATGGGGTGAAATCCCCAAAAAGGGTGTTCTTTTTCTTCTGTATGCCACAACAGCTGCGAGAATATTACTAGCAAATAATTGGAAGAAACAAGACTTACCAACTATCGAAGAATGGCAGATGAAGATGATGGACGATATGGAACTTGCCGAACTGACCGGGAGACTCCGAGACCAGAGAGAAGAGACGGTGGAAGAAGATTGGAAGAAGTTTAAGGAATATTTGAAAAAATATCTTAATATTTAAATCTTAGAATAGCTTTGAAAGTGGATATAGGCTGTAGGGTTAGAAGTAGAAGATGTTGTTGTTGTTGTTTAGTCGTTTAGTCGTGTCCGACTCTTCGTGACCCCATGGACCAGAGCACGCCAGGCACTCCTGTCTTCCACCGCCTCCCGCAGTTTGGTCAGGCTCATGTTTGTAGCTTCGAGAACACTATCCAACCATCTCATCCTCTGTCGTCCCCTTCTCCTTGTGCCCTCCATCTTTCCCAACATCAGGGTCTTTTCCAGGGAGTCTTCTCTTCTCATGAGGTGGCCAAAGTATTGGAGCCTCAACTTCACGATCTGTCCTTCCAGTGAGCACCCAGGTCCGACCTCCCTAAGAATGGATGCGTTTGATCTTCTTGCAGTCCATGGGACTCTCAAGAGTCTCCTCCAGCACCACAACTCAAAAGCATCAATTCTTCGGCGATCAGCCTTCTTTATGGTCCAGCTCTCACTTCCATACATCACTACTGGGAAAACCATGGCTTTAACTATACGGACCTTTGTTGGTAAGGTGATGTCTCTACTTTTTAAGATGTTGTCTAGATTTGCCATTGCCTTTCTCCCAAGGAGCAGGCGTCTTTTAATTTCGTGACTGCTGTCACCATCTGCAGTGATCATGGAGCCCAAGAAAATAAAATCTCTCACTGCCTCCATTTCTTCTCCTTCTATTTGCCAGGAGGTGATGGGACCAGTGGCCATGATCTTCGTTTTTTTGATGTTGAGCTTCAGACCATATTTTGCGCTCTCCTCTTTCACCCTCATTAAAAGGTTCTTTAATTCCTCCTCACTTTCTGCCATCAAGGTTGTGTCATCTGCATATCTGAGGTTGTTGATATTTCTTCCGGCGATCTTAATTCCGGCTTGGGATTCATCCAGCCCAGCCTTTCGCATGATGAATTCTGCATATAAGTTAAATAAGCAGGGGGACAATATACAGCCTTGTCGTACTCCTTTCCCAATTTTGAACCAATCAGTTGTTCCATATCCAGTTCTAACTGTAGCTTCTTGTCCCACATAGAGATTTCTCAGGAGACAGATGAGGTGATCAGGCACTCCCATTTCTTTATGAACTTGCCATAGTTTGCTGTGGTCAACACAGTCAAAGGCTTTTGCATAGTCAATGAAGCAGAAGTAGATGTCTTTCTGGAACTCTCTAGCTTTCTCCATAATCCAGCGCATGTTTGCAATTTGGTCTCTGGTTCCTCTGCCTCTTCTAAATCCAGCTTGCACTTCTGGGAGTTCTCGGTCCACATACTGCTTAAGCCTGCCTTGTAGAATTTTAAGCATAACCTTGCTAGCGTGTGAAATAAGTGCAATTGTGCGGTAGTTGGAGCATTCTTTGGCACTTCCCTTCTTTGGGATTGGGATGTAGACTGATCTTCTCCAATCTTCTGGCCACTGCTGAGTTTTCCAAATTTGCTGGCATATTGAGTGTAGCACCTTAACAGCATCATCTTTTAAAATTTTAAATAATTCAGCTGGAATATCATCACTTCCACTGGCCTTGTTATTAGCGATGCTTTCTAAGGCCCATTTGACTTCACTTTCCAGGATGTCTGGCTCAAGGTCAGCAACCACACTACCTGGGGTATACGAGACATCAATTTCTTTCTGGTATAGTTCCTCTGTGTATTCTTGCCACCTCTTCTTGATGTCTTCTGCTTCTGTTAGGTCCTTTCCACTTTTGTCTTTTATTATGGAAATC